AGGAAGTGAACAAAATTTATGGATGGAATGAGGGGATGTGAATTCAGTTCAATGAACTGACATTTTTCACACTGCTCGTATGAAATGGAAAATGAAAAACTTTCTCACAAGCGCGCACAGAATTTTTCCTGGGAAAATTATTCCGAACAAGGAATACGACATGGAGTGAAAAGTTTGTTGGGAAAAATTATTTTTGTTGAATATTTAATTGATAATTTAAACTACTCTTTTGAGGTATTTAATTAATGGGTAATTTTTCTGTTGTAGACTAGACGACGGCATGGGATAAATTGTGTTGATGTAGAGTTGAGGATTTTTGTAGATGCAAAAATTAATATGAGAAAGGACTAAGGGCTCGGTATTAGTTTAAAAAGTATTAGTTCATCCAAGGGCAGATGGGCAGATGGGGTCTAGTCGATCCTACAAAGAATAGGTTTTGAAAATAAAAATCTTGTATCATTACATTGTATTCTTGACTACTATAAATCATCAACAGAACAACATATAGAACGTAAAGAATATTTACCTTATACAAGAGGCGTCAGTTGAGCGTCGATATAGTTCTTCTTCTTCCTTGTTTCAGCATTATTTTTATATATTTTTCATTTGATGTTGTTATTGTAAATCTCTGATAACTCAAGCATGCACAAAGCTATAAATACATACATATAACATAAGCAAGCAGTAGCAAAAGAGAATGAGAAAAAAAAGACGAGAATAATTTGACTGTGTGTCTGTGGTCATGGTTACGTTTCCGAGGTTCATGTCCTTCATACTCTTTCGCTCTTTATTCTTTATTTTCTTTTATAGACTTTTATACACAATAACACAACATAAGCATAAATAATATAATGGAGGAATATAAAACATTAAAAATGCATCGTAATGTGTCTATGGTTTGCGCCTCAATAAATTGCATATATTCGTTGAGCTTTTTCTTGAGACTGTGCCTGTGTAGTGTGCCGCAAATACACGAATAGAACTTTTCTCCATCCACGGAATGAAATCAAGGCCTCTTTTGATGATTGCTCATGAAATATTGCTGTGAATAATGGCAAGATAATGATGAGACTTATGAGAAATATTTGAGGAGTTAAAGGAGTTGATGGTTGATCATAAATTGATGAGTTTTGAGGGGTTAAGTGCGATGTGAAGGACTTAACTTGATGGAGTGTCTTGTAGAATTTTTTGAACTTTGTAGGAATCATTTTGATATTGTGCTGGAATCAAGCGCCTGATTCTAGTTTATTTTTAGGTTCTAAGTGGATGTGGGGATCTATAGCTTTTAGTCTTGTAGGAAAATTCAAAAAATTCTGATCACGAACAAGTGCAACATCGATCCTTTGTTGCTTAATTCTGTTCATGTAGATTGTGATTTCATATCCAGCGATAAACTTTATGCTAATAAATCAAAGCTTTAAAAAGTATGATTAATTTAAAAGTAGACTTAAGACTTAAAAAAATCCACATAGTTATTTAATTTCATAATCGTGACGAATAATGCTGCTTATGCTGCTCACAATCATTAATTATACATTGCCTATGTTGATGATTCTCAACCGCCGTTCATTACACCGTCGATAAATACAGTCGACATGCATAGCTGCAGAAAATAAGAAGAAAAAAAATCATGCAACATAGAACAGAGCAATTGCATAAGAATAAATGAGAATTATAGCATAATTTTTTCATGTGCGGTAGGTCATGACTGGAAAAAAAGATCTTTCTGTATTTCACATACTCAATTGAATTTGTAATTTTCGTCCGTTTCGAGAATAAAGCACTATGCTTCTCGTATACGGATAAATGTTCCATAAATCAACAGACGAGCAACTAAAAGGCAAGGCGCTTTGCCAAATTGATATTCGATATTATGCAAACAACAGAAAGGAAAGAATTGTACATGGACTTTGTTGTGGCATGACAGAATGCAATTCAATGAACTTTTTCATCCCGCCGCCAACCAACCACCTCCTATATGTATAGCCGGCGACATTCGTTAGAAGGATGAGGATAGAAGAAAATGAAAATAAAAATCGTTGAGCCTCGTCCTTCCTCAATATTCTTCCGCTTAACGTTGATTATGTTGAGTAAGGAAGAAGGAACTCTGTGGAGTCACAAATACAATCACATTTGTGCATACAAAGTAAGTTTTGTACATAGACTGGCTATGTACATAAAATAAACTCCATACAGGGCGTGCAAGGCGCATAAATAAATTTTTTTCTTTCCTCTGCCAGTCAGCCTCATTCAGCCCACATTAGAGAATAGCAAGAGAGAGTGCAAGGAACTCTAGTCAGTTCATTCAACTTTGAGCATTTTTTTAAAAAACGGCAATTGCCAGCATGAAGGAAATTTTCATTTTAAAAAACAATTTTCTCTCTCTGTTCCTCAATGTCTGCGATGTTTTATTTCAGAAATTTTTTTCGTAAAAAAAGTCATATAAAAAGGAGGAAGAAGGATTCTTTTTGCTGCAGACGCGTCCCTTTTAAAAAAGCTTTTAGAGCATATGCATGTGAACAACTCTTACTATTGCTGTTATTACTTTCATCTCTCGAGTAAATTCAATTTTGTTTTTAATCTGAACAGGATTTTCACACGTTTGACGTGTCGAGGAATATTTTTTTGGGTGGAATAAGTTTGTCGATGAGACGTGATTTGAGGTTAGGGATAGACATTGGGTAGACAGAAATAGAAATGTAAAGATTTTGTTGACTTTTGAGGGATGTTTAATAATTAAAATAGAAACTGATGGAGAGGCAGGGGATGCTACTTAACATCAGTGAGTTTTGTATTAATTCGAGCCTCGTCGACTCATCCTGCCAAGTTTTCTGCTAAGTAGAAGTCTAATATGCCTAGTACAAGTATGCATCTCAACAAAATTAATTCAGTCTACCATCATAGTTTCCATTCAATCCAAACTCAATCACAAGACACACCTCCCTCACTGAGGTCATTTCCCTCAGTCTACAGACACCAAAAAAAAAAAATCATCATCTCCTCATTCTCCCACAAAAATCATCAACCAAGTAAAATAACAATGTACAGAAAGTAAAATGTGATGCTGCTTACCATAAGCTCACAACTAATTCATTTATTTATTTGTTTTATGTCTCAACATTACTATAAAATCTACTCAACATTTTATGCTGCACTCATCCTTGTTTCAAGATATTTTTTTTCCATTTTCTTTCCTCTTTTTGTTTCGCATCCGACTCGACTTCATTTCACTTCTTCTTATTTATTCTTGTTATAAAAAAAAGCACACCGAGCTTATGAGTGAAAATGAAAGTTTTTCCTCCTTTTTTTTCATTCTCTTTTCATTTTCCTTTGTTACGGAGATGCTGGTTTGCTATTGTCATTTCAATTCTATCAAATTATATGTGAGAAGAACTTTTTGAGGTGGATATAAAAAATATTTTAATAATAATAAAATGAGAATTCAGTCAAGTGGATTAAAAAGAATAAATGTGATGGTGCTAAGTGCAATAAGAAGGATCACAAGGAAGTTTAAATCCTCTTTTGAAAGTCACTTAATGTAATGAGATGGAAAATTTCCATGTTCTTGTTTGTTTTCTGGTAGGAAGTGGATTTTGTGATGCTTTAGGTTTGTTTGTAGGAAGTTTAATGAAACTTTTGATAGCTATTATGGAAGGGATTATGAAGGAGAGTCTAGAGTGTTAATATTGTAAGAACGGGAGCTATGGGAGGTGTAATTGGAACACGATCAGTCTAGAAAGTCGTATTTAGAAAATCGTCGACCAGCTACATGACTATCCCTGTATTAGGCTAAGATTCTTTAGTAGTTACTCGATATTAATATAATTTTAGATACTTACTAGCTCGATTAGCATAAATCAGCTCATCAAATTGAAATCCGGCAACAATCTCTCAATGGTGCTAGATTCTATTTGGTTCCTTCTATTTGAGCTTTGTGCTGGTTTTGTATTAGATTAACCAACTTGTGCTATTCGATTAGCTTCCTTGGTAAATTAAGATCCTCATATTCTAATTACATAAACTGCTCACTTCCATTTCCCACTCTAATTTAAACTCAATTTTCAAATTCTCTGCTATCATGACAATAAGCTATACATTACAACTAAATACAATAAAATAAAACAATTGCATAATTCAAAAAATATTTATTTTCAAACAGCAAGTAATCGTGATGTCAACTGATAGATTATTTGCAAGCGTCATTACATAAGCTCAATTTCAATTCAGTAAACGAATTGAAAAAAAAAGAATAAAAATTTATGAAACTTTTGCGGAGCGTAGAACAAATCAATTGCAAAAGCGGCATAAACAGCGTCTTCTATTGTGTCGTGCGGCGAGTTTACAAAAGTTGTCATCATCATGTTTTGTGCAAAAAATAAACTGACTGTCGTTGCAAAGTGAATTTGAGCTTTTCGGTGGATTTATTTTGAAAATGAAAATCAATATTTGTTGTCGATGCTTGATGTAAAATTATTTGTTATTTTTGGATAGACTGTTGGTAAATAGACAGGTAGATTGGGTGGATGCAGCTTTTAAAATTCAGTTTCTAAATTTCCAAAAAGATCTCCTAAATCTGCTGCTGCTTCCATTTTCATCCAAGTAACATCTCCTCTCCGTCTCTCGTCAGAGAATTTCCATAGAAAAAAAACAGACCCGAACATGTGCATGAAAGGGAAATAAAATACAGTATGCATTCTAGCCATGCGCTTTTAAAGCTCATTCTATGCATGTATTTGTGCATAAAGCAAAAATAGTTTTGTCCGATGGAAACTATCATCGTTCGAACTACTTCCGGCAACAGTGTACAAACAGAATCAGGCAATTCACAGTCATAGAGAAAAGAAAAAAAAAAAACAGGGAATCGGGAATCGTTGTTGTTGTTGTCGTCTCTTCTCTCTTCCCATAATTTTTTTTTCATGCAACATACAACAATCACAGAATAGCAATGTTCAGTCAGTTACTCATATGATATTAAGCCATAAAAACATATAAAAGATTCGGTGAGACTTTGTTCCGGGTGGAATAAAAAGTGAAAAGTTCGGAATAAATATTTTTTTTGGATCGGATTTAAATTATTTTTGGGGTCGATGGACTGAAAATTAATATTTTTGAAAATATTTTTGTGAATTTAAATTTTTTAAGTGAGTTTTAAAAAATAAATTTTATAAAAAAAATTAAAATCAAAACATGAGTAAAAAGGAAATAAGGAAGCAAAAAAAGTTGTACATAAATATATAATTTGAACCAGACTCGATCTCTTCCCGACTGTATATACATACACTCAAAAGTCGCAAGGAAAAGTCATAACAATTGTTGTAATAGCAAATGCACGAAAGGGATCTCACACTAAGAGTGAAATTGAATGCGCTTGCATAGACAGCCACATTTGTGTTAGTGTATGAAGACATAATTGTTGTGGTAGTCGTCGGGTAGTAAAAGCGAAGGACGAGAAGGATATGCATGTGTATTGTGTATGACGAATGCGATAGACACAAAAACAACAAAAAATTTTCTCAATTTTCGCACAATCGACTAACGTTTGTCCTAGGTCGTGGCAACTAAAAGCCATGGAAGCTTTCACCCCGAGTGGATGTGTGTTGTAAAACAGTGCAGTAAAGCAGGATTTTTTTTTCATTTATGTTATGCATTTTTTATGCTTTTCGTTTGATTTTCTGTGAAAGTTGAAGAAATTTGTAAAAGTTTTATGGAAAATTCTTTGTGAATAAGAACAAAAAAGCCTTAAAAATCCTTAAAAAAGGAGAAGAAAAAGTGAAAAAAAATTTATTTTTATTTTTTCAAGCGAAAAAAAAACTGACACTGGAAAAAAAAGTTGGAAGAAAACGAGAGAATTTTTTTCAATTGAGAAGAAAAGTCGAGAAGTGAAAATACAGGAAAGGAAAAAAGAAATTGCGGAAGGACAGGAAAAATTGAGGAAGAAATTTTTCCTTCAACAGATTTTTTTACTTGGAAATGATCAAAAATAGTAAGAATGATTTTTTTAAATTTTTTGTGGTTTTAGAATAATTAAGAATTGATGCCGTACTTAAATTGAGAGCACTGGCATCTAGAATATTTATTTTTCTAGTATTTTAAATCATTAAAAAACCAAGAAATTGGGAATAGAAGTTTTAAAAAATCAAGTGGGGTAAGGAGGTACATTGTCATACAATCTTACAAAAAATATTCAAAAATCCGGCTTATGCAAACTTATAAAAAGACATAAAATATACTAAAATATTGCTAATATCTTTCAAATTAAATCTAATAGCATTATTAGCTTGCAAAATTCCAATAAATTTCTACAAAGTTACATCAAAGAAATGTTCAATTTTTGAAAAATATTTGCTTCATTAATTTTTAAAAATAATCTAATTTCATAAGTTTTTATCTTCAACATCCGCAATTTAATCACTGCAATTCCTCAAAAAATAATTTTAATCTTTAAAACAAATCACAAGGAGCCTAGTCATAAATGACATCAATTTAAAATCTTATTGATATAAATTTTAACACTCGTCATAAAAATAGACGGCATATCCTAATGAACCTTAAAACCTAGCATCTCAAAAAAGTAAATTTTTCCACTAGCAAATTTTTCCTCAATTGCCTATTTTCATTTTTATTTCACTTCCATCTACCGTACATTAATTCGCCCTTGCAATTCAATTTGAGCTCATTGCACGTTACTATTTCAATTCATTATTTTGTAAGTCGCTCTCTCGATGCACTCTCTGTTCTATACAAAAAAATAAAAAAAACTTTTTTTTCTAGTCTGTGGCGATATATAAACATGTAGTATAAATATATATTAAAATCAAAGTCGAATATGCGGAATTTAATAGCTGGTGCAAGTTCATGGCTGAGCACAATGAGCTGAACAAGTTCAGTATTATTATGCAAATAATATTTATATTTTTTTTTTCTCTCGTAGGCGGAAGACTTTTTTTTATTTATTTTTTGAGATGCGAAGTTTCTGTTTCCTTTTGTAAAATTGAAAAATTCAAATCTGTGATCTTTTTGGCAACGATTGTAAGGAAGACAAGAAAATTTTTCACTTCTGTAAGTCTCGCGACATTTCATTCATTGGCAATAAAAAGTGAAAATTTGTTGACTTTAGACTTTTCGCTTTTAATAATCACAATTTATTGAGAGTTCAGAATAAGGCGATGTTGAGACGAAATTTGCTTAGGTTTAAAAAAAATTGATGTAAATGACATCAGAAAAATTAAGTTTTGAATGTATTGGGAAATTTTTGTTTTTGCTATGATCAGGGGCTCTGGATTTTATTTGTAGGTTTCGTAATTTTTTGAAAATAATGAAATTGAATTTTTTAAAATTAAAACTATTTTTAAAAAAAAAAGAAAAAATCATTTTAATTTAAAAATCCTTTTATTTGTTCAAATACCCAATCTAAAATTTAACTCATCAAAAGTGACTCAATCTCACATCACAACAAAACATCTAACAACCTGAGTAATAAGTAATTGGATATTAGAGAAAAACTCACTCGTTCAATATGCGGTCATTCGTCGATTCACGTAGAGAACGAAATAAAAAATTGTGAGAGGAAAATGACGTAGTCAATTTGATTTTTTTTGTGTGTTTGAAGAGAACCTAAAAGTCCTCCCTTTTTACTGCACTATATGTGTTGTATTGGGAAGCTTTTTGCACTTAATATTGCACACAAAAATTCAGTTTTTTTCTTCTTTCTTTTTAAAAGTGTGCAATGCTCTCATTCAGCTTGTTGAGATCGATTTTAGTTGCAATCTCGCTTACTGATCGATTAGATGTGCTTAGAAAAAAAAAGTAGTTTTGGGATACGCGGAAATAATTGCGTTTGAGAAAAGTTTATAAATTTCAAAATTGAATACAAAAATGAAAAAAAAATAATTACATAAAATTTGAAACTTAATATTTAAAAAGTAAAATACCTGAAAAATGAGCTGAATTTGAGCCAAAATAATTATTTTAAAAATTAAAAAAATCTAATTTTAGTTTTTTGTAAAGTTAAAATCCATATTGAAAAATAAAATAATTCGAAAAGTGAAGAAAAAACACTTCCAGCAAAAAATAAATTCTAATTCAAATAAAACTTGAAAACATCCTCAAGATAATTTGAATGTGCCACTAAAAAAGGAACAAAAACTGAAACTAAAATAAAAATAAAAAGATAATAAAGAGATCCAATTAACAGACAAGAATGAGAAAGAGTTAATGATGATTATAATGACTGAAGAATTATTTTCACATTTTTCATGTACTTTGTGATTAATTTAAAAGAAAAAGAAAATTTATAAAGTGTTAAATAGCAAAAGTTTGTCATTTTGTCAACGAATTTAAGTCGAGTGAAAAGAAAATATTTTAAAATTGAATATTTTTAGGAAAGAATTGATAGGACACTGAAGTGCCAAGTAAGATTTTTAATGTATATTAAAATAAAAATTGATTTAAAGAAATCGTCGAAAGTTCTGATATTTTTTTTCGATTGTCCACATCCACAAAGTCACTTATATATCTGTCTAGCAACCTTCCAGTCTCCAATTGAGTTATTCATGACCACCCCTTTCACTCATCACAAGCAACATGGTTAGAAAATTTAAATAAATTTTAAACTCAATCCACAATCAAGAATCCAACCCTTAAAACTCATTAGACATGCAACCACTCTAATTGAAAATTATCCCACCCGCTTCAATATTTAACTTTCCATTTTGGACAACTCCAAACATTTTACTTCAACTCCTGCATTTGAATTTCAACAGATTGAAAATTCGTCAATTTTAAATTCAAATTTCATGTAAAATTATTCAATGAAATCGCTTCCAATCATGATCAATTGTGATCAAATGAATGTTTAATTAATTTCTACTTGTCTAGAGTCACATGCAATGATTTTACTCCAAAGTTTTAATGAGTATCATTTGATATTTAAATTAATGAGGGGTTGAAGATTTTTATCAGATAGTAAATTTAATTATTGTCATGAAAATTTAATTTTCTGTCTAAAAATGTCGTTAGAGCGTTTTTTTTTGTGTGATGGCTACTGAATGACTTGAAATGGCAAGATTAAAAATTTAAAATAAATTGGATATTTTTTTAATGAATATTTGATTTTTGCATGATTTGATGATTTTACACGATGAGATTAAAGGATTATAGACAAAAAGATTGTATTAAATTAATTGTGGATGTCATTATTGCAGACAAAGTATAAAGTTGTTTTTGGATCCAAGAGTTCAATTGTTTAGGGGCTTGCTTATGGCATCATGGGGCAAATTAATTATTTTTGAATCAACATTAATAATTGCAGTCATACTATGGACAAAAAATAATATTTAATCACTTTTAGGAGTCGTTTGTGAATTATTTCCATTCAAATAGTAAGACTCGTTCCATAGCTTGACACCCCCTTTTCATATATTACACATCATAATGAAACACACCCCATAAGATTAACACACTTTATAATTCTCAGTAAATCCTTAAGTCTACAAGATTATCGACAATACTTCCTGCAACAAAAAGCAAATTCTATTCATCCCAGCACAAAAACCTTGAGAAGATTTGTAAAGAAGCTTTTGAGTTTCAAAGCGAAGTAATTTTTCATTCCAAAAAAACGTGCACGTCTTGTGAGATTTTTTTGCTCTTTCTTATCTTAACTCTTGGAATAGAAACCTTGAAAAAGTTTGCTTACTTTATGGTAAATTTTAAAATTATGAAGAATATTAATTTAATTAAATTTAACAATTTTTTGAACAATAAATTGTCCATATCAGTCTTTATTCAATAATTTCCATCACATACTCAAAGAAATCTTCACGCTTAGACTATAACAATGAGAATTAATCTCACTGTCATTTCCATTTCCACTTGCATTGACATTGAAATGTTTGCGAATGATTATAGCTTCTGAGCATTTTATTTCTGATCTTATCAACATTGAACATAATTGAGCATAAAACTTTTGTATTTGCTTTACTAATCCCAACCACAAATCATATCATTTTCTCATCCTCATCCTTCCTTATTATTACGTGAAATATCGTCTGAAAGTAAGAAAATATTTTTCAATTTTTCATTTAATAGTCTTGTATAACTTGTGTGAAGGTTTTTCAAGGTTGACTTACTGGAAGTAAGAAAAGAAAAAACTTTTTTCCGCTTTTTAAAATTTCTCGATTGCAATCATCTGCAGCTAATTGAAAATTACAATATTGTTCTGTATGGTATGTACAGATGATTAGTCATTTGATGGGAATTTTTAAGTGACTTGGAATTTTTGAAGCTACTTAAAGTATTTTAAAACCATTCTAAAATCTTCTAAGCACCTTCTGGCTATGGATCAACACCCCCACAATCGCGTGCTATCTCAATAATTTATTTAATTCCATCTCAACACATTTTTTAAACCTCAATGTAAGGTAATATTGTTCATTAATGAAATGAGCATGAAAAACTAGAAGACAAAGAAATTTTTAATATCCAATTATCTCATCCATGCACGAGAATATCTTCTTCTTCTTCCACCCATCATTATTATTATTTGTGCAATTCTTCATGAACATTGAATGTGCAATTGCAATTGCATATACATTTTCATGTACACATGAGTGAGAAAAACAAAGATAGATTGACGATGCAGGAAAGAATTAAGAGCTGCATGCATAGACGATTGCAAGTTGTTGTTATGTGCATGCGACTTTAACCTTGCACCTAATTATAGTCGGAGTGGCAGATGAGTTGAGCTCGTTGTGAGCACAAAAATCTGCGATAGACATAGACAAGTGCGCTTACAAAATGCACATAATCTTCTCACATTTACTCATTCATAGCTTTTAAATATTATGAAGATTATGAGCACATACGACTATACTTGTTTATTAAAAATTACATTTTTTTTTCCTTTCTCTCCGTCATATGCTTATTATTTTTGTTAGTATTATTATTTTTGCATGGAAATGTGCATTGATTTTTTTTATATCTATT